TTTTTTTTTTTTTTGAGACAGGGGTCATGCTCTGTTGCCCAGGCTAGAGCAGAGGCTTGATCATAGTTCACTGCAACCTCCAACTCCTAGGCTCAAGTTATCTTCCCGCCACAGCCTCCTGAGTAGCTGGGACTATAGGCAACCAAGTCCTATGATACTTTATCAGTATCTTCTAAGTTTAACCCTAGCTATCTTTTTTTTTTTTTTGAGGTGGAGTTTCGCTCTTGTCCCCCAGGCTGGAGTGCAGTGGCATGATCTCGGTTCACTGCAACCTTCGCCTCCCGGGTTCAAGCGATTCTTCTGTCTCAGCCTCCCAAGTAGCTGGGATTACAGAAGTGTGCCACCATAGCCGGCTAATTTTTGCATTTTTAGTACAGACGGGGTATCACCATGTTGGTCAGGCTAGACTTGAACTCCTGACCTCAAGTTATCCATTCTCCTCGGCCTCCCAAAGTGCTGGGATTATAGGCGTGAGCCACCACGCCCGGCCTGACCCTAGCTATCATTTTCTACAATTGTCACCCTACTTCAGATCTTAATAACTTTACATCTCTAGCCTGCAAGAACAGCCTCCAAGTTGATGTGACATTCACTCTTTTACTAATCAAAATCCCATAGCGACAAGTATCACTCTTCTAAAGCATCACAAAGGGAAGCCTCTAAGACTGTAAACTAGCAAAGCAGAAAAAAAGGAAAGTCAACTAATATTGGCAAGAGCATTTACCATTATACTATGTGCTTTCACATCATGTGATAAACTTAAATTCTCACAAAACTATTATTAATGTAACTATTATCACCTTTACTACTGACAAGAAAACAGAGGGATTATTACAAATGAGAAATCCAAGCCTCAGAGATTGAGCAACATGCTCACAGTCACACTAAATATGGAGTTGGAATTTGAATCTATGACACTCTAAGCCTAGGACACTTTGACTCCAAAGTCCTTTTCTTTTCATTATACCATCCTGCCTCTCACTCAACAGTCTATGATGGTTTACAATTCCTTATGTCATCAAATCCCAAGTAATACATACATAAAGGTACTGTGAAATTGCTCTATTCTTGGTTCTTGCTATTTGGCAGCATGTTTTCTACTCCTTTCAAGAAAACCTACTGGCTAATTCCCCCCTCTACACACATGACTTGCTTATTTCTAAATATCTCCAAAACTTTAGACAAGCCATGTTTTCAAACCAAAATGAACTGCTGCTCCTTCTCCACCAAACCTTGCCTCACTTTCAAAATTCTACTCAAAATTCACCTCCATGAAAGCTTTATTAGCAATCTACATCCACTTCCAATTATTCCCAAGAAGCATCCTTGTAAATCAAGCCACACAAAGGAGCCAATGCCAAGGAAGGAAAAAGCTAAGGGTATAGGTGAAGGCACCACTAGAGGACAAGAGAACTTAGAAAAGAGCATCCCAGAGTACTGAGATTCTATCAAATGTAGCATCCTCCTTTTCCAGGAAGCTAGCTCATAAAACTCACCCAGGGAAACTCCCAGCCTTTTCCTTACCATCCCTAGTCAAGACAACAAACACAAACCTGGAAATTATAACTTCTACTGAAAATAATAACTGCCACCATTTCCCCTCAGTCAGGGTGCTCAAAAATGACAGCTATTGACTTACCTATTCTGGCAGCCCATCAAAACTAAATATAACACTCTATATACAGAAACATGAGCTCATAGTTGGTTCGCCTTACTATGAATAATTGTTCTGCATTTATTTATGTCATCTTCCCCACAAGATAACAATATCCTTAAAGGCAGGGCTTATATCTTCTATTTTTCATGGGTTAATTTTCGTATATGCAGTACAGTTAATTCTTTTCATATAAGCAGCACTCGCAGTACAGTTAATTCTTTTCATATAAGCAGCACTCAAATCCATAAGCTGTCCCGAAAAAATTAAGTTCAAGTATTTACCAAGGTTTTATTCACATTTATCAGCAGCCTGAAATCTAGTTTGAAGAGGTGGACAATGAATAAATAAGGAGCAACTTCCTATAAAACTTTCAAGCAGGCCGGGCAGGGTGGCTCACACCTGTAATCCCAACACTTTGGGAGGCAAAGGTGGGTGGATCACCTGAGATCAGGAGTTCGAGACCAGCCTGGCCAACATGGCAAAACCTCATCTCTACTAAAAACACAAGAAAAATTAGCTGGGAGTGGTGGCGCACACCTGTAGTCCCAGCTACTGGGGAGGCTGAGGCGGGAGAATCACTTGAACCCGGTAGGTGGATGTTGCAGTGAGGCAAGATTGCGCCACTGCACTCCAGCCTTGGTGACAGAGAGAGGCTCCGTCGGGGGGGTGGCAGGGGCAGTTTCAGGCAGTGAGAGGCAGAACAGGGCAGTGCAAAGAATGAACTATAAAGAACTGTGGACCAATAGCTCTAGATTCCAGACCACTAAATTGAATTCCTCAAGTTCCGAAAATGGACTTCATTATCTTTTGAGACAGCGTTTAGCTCTTGCCGCACAGGCTGGAATGCAGCAGCGTCATTTTGGCTCACTGTAACCTCCTCCTCCCTGGGTTCAAGCGATTCTCATGCCTCAGCCTCCCGAGTAGCTGGGACTACAGACGCACGCCACCATGCCCAGCTAACTTTTGTACTTTTAGTAGAGAAGGGGTTTCTCCATGTTGGCCAGGCTGGTCTCGAACTCCTGGCCTCACATTATCTGCCCACTTGGGACTCCCAAGGTGCTGGGTTTACAAAGGCCTGAGCCACCACACCCAGCCAACTTATCTTCGAAACACACTGCCTAGGCCGGATGCGGTGGCTCACACCTGTAATCCCAGCACTTTGGGAGGCCAAGGCGGGGTGATCACGAGGTCAGGAGATGGAGACCATCCTGGCTAACACGGTGAAACCCTATCTCTACCAAAAATAAAAATAAAAATAAAAATAAAAATTAGCTGGGCAAGGTGGCGGGCGCCTGTAGTCCCAGCTACTGGGGAGGCAAAGGCAGGAAAATGGCATGAACCCAGGAGACGGAGCTTGATCTCAGCTCACTGTAACCTCCGCCTCCGGTTTGAAGCAATTCTCCTGTCTCAGCCTCCCGAGTAGCTGGGATTACAGGCATGTAATCCCACACCTGGCCAATTTTCTTCTATTTTTAGTAGAGAAGGGGTTTCACCATGTTGGCCAGACAGGTTTCAAACTCCTGACCTCAAATGACCATGCTCCCCTACAGGCGTGAGCCACCGCACCCTGTGTAAACAACGAACTTGATACTTGCTTGCAAATACGTTTTTTTCTTCTCTGGTATAAGGTGCTACATTATAGAATCAGAACAAGATGCTACATTGTAGAATCAGAACCTCAGACCTAGAAGGTAAAGTCAGTTAAGTGGAAGGAGTCTTAAGATTTATTTGTAACCTCTAGTAGAAAAGGAAAATTTGAACTTTAGAGAACTTTATAATAAAGTGTGGAATTTTATCAAAAGTAATACAATTAGCTAGTAGTAGACTCTGACTAATTTAACTCAGTTCATTACACGTTGTTTGAGCACTTGTTATGTACTCTAAACTGACAGGAAGTGTGTTTCTTTTTATTTTGAGACGGAGTCTCGCTCTGTCACCCAGGCTGGAGTCTAGTGGCGCGATGTAAGCTCACTGCAACCTCCGCCTGCCGGTTTGAAGCAATTCTCCTGCCTCAGCCTCCCGAGTACTTGGTATTATAGTCCACGTGCCACCACGCCTGGCTAATTTTGTATTTTCAGTAGACCGAGTTTCTCCATGTTTGTCAGGCTTGTCTCAAACTCCCGACCTCAGGTAGGTAATACGCCCGCCTCGGTCTCCCAAAGTGCTGGCGTGAGCCACCGCGTCCTGCCTTAGTTCACTGTTTATGTATGACCTTGCATCCCTCTTGAACTATCAATTCCTTCAGGGCAAAAACTGAATTTGTTTCATAGTTTCCAACTTTGAAGTGCATCTCACAAACCCCTGCAGGTATTCAAATACCAGATGACAAGGAAGCTATTTGTCATTAACCAAGAATTCATGACTGAACAGTATGAGGAATAACCACGAGTACAGTTAACACTGGCCAGAACAAAAAAAGATAGCAGCTACTTAGAACTCAGCTGACAAAGGGAGAGGAGCAAAGCAAAGGCATAGAGAGCAGGAACAATGGCAGAAAGCAGGCATGGAAACCAGAGCCCAAACTGGACTATACAACAGGATAATGCACTGGAATGTTCAAGCTAATACACCAAAGAATCACCTGAGTGGCAAAGGGGCTGCAAGCTCCCCATTGTCTGCTGGTATCTTCGGCTTTCATCTTCTGCCACCTCGTTGATGTCTGAATAGTCCACAGCATCTTCCGTACTCCTAATCCACCCTATGAAAAAGCAGGGAGAATCGCAACAACAGTAAGTGACCCTCACTCCCTCAGGTAATTCCCATTTAAAAGTACATGTACAGGCTGGATGTGGTGGCTCACGCCTATAATCCCAGCACTTTGGGGGGCCGAGGCGGGCGGATCACCTCAGGTCAGGAGTTCGAGACCACTCTGACCACTATGATGAAACCCTGTCTCTACTAAAAATACAAAAATTAGCCGGGCGTGGTGGCGCGCGCCTGTAGTCCCAGCTACTTGGGAGGCTCAGACAGGAGAAATGCTTGAACCCGGGTGGCGGAGGTTGCAGTCAGCCGAGATCGCCCCACTGCACTCCAACCTGGGAGACAGAGCAAAACTCCATCTTACACACACACAAAAGTACACATATAGTAGTAGGTGGCTAGCCTCCTCCCCCACCTACTCCTCACAACCCAGACTTCACCTTCATCATTTACCAAGGCACCGTCAGTCCCGGTCAATTCTTCATTTGCCGTGAGTTCAGTGATCAGGCTGCCCAGCCCCAAAGCCCCCAAGCCTGCCAAGTGCTTCTTACACTCCTGAAAAAGGGACAGCACCAGAGTCGAAGACAACAACTAAACCTACGATTCCCACACCAGAAAGGCTTATTTCCCTGGTCCACAACAAAGTCACAAATCCACATGAAAAATGACTGTGCAGTGTGCCAAAAGGAGTAACACGTTCAAGAACTGCAATATCTATCTACCAAACTTCGCATCGATCAGATCTTTATTAAAGCACCACAGCCAACTGCATCGCCTACACTTTAAAATATAACACTACAAGAGAAGACGAATCAAAGAACTACCAAGACTGAACGAATGGAACAGTCGTTCTCGGAACCAGGGCCAAGGCAGGGAGATGAGTGGGATTGGAGGCGGCGAGACGGGGCTCGTTCGGGCCAAGTTTCGCATGGGCCTGTGGCACAGTAGGGGCCACAGCGGCCGACAGCTTCACCCCTCAAGAAAACGGGCCTAAGCGAAGGCGGGGTAGTTTCATGAGGGCGCAGGACACTATTTCACGGATGTCAGTGAAGACGCTGGGAGAACCACCTATAAGGCGCACTGGGACCAGGAGGCCCGCCTGGGTGCTGAGAATACCCCATTGACCTAAGCCTGGGGCCAGAACCAAACGAGCGGGGGACAGGTCCTGTCCAGTCCTCTGGCTCTATAGAGCCATCTCAGCCTAGCGATGTCAGAGGGGCAGGAAGTGTCAAGAATCTCCAAGCAGGTTACGGGTGGGAAGCCATCTCATTAGGCAAAACAAGCATGTGTCCTACTGCCTGGTCGGCAGAGCACTAGCTCCAAAGCCACCATTCCCTACGCCCCTGGCCCCGGGCTCGCCTCGCGCTCTCTTCTGCCCACCCTCCCCTAGAACTGATCACTCCCACGCGACGCTGCTCCCGCAACCACGAGGGCGGGATCCTCCTCCCCGGCGTTAACTGCGCCCAGTTCTCGCTGCCTGAGCACCCTCTGCTTTCCTCCCTGCACCTCCTTCTTCTGCTTAGCCGCACCCTCCCCAGCCCTACCCCCACGCCCACCCCCTCACATCATCCAAGACGCTTTCCCCCTCCAGCTGCCCGGCTCCATTGATGTTGCCGAAGAGGAAACCCGCTAAAGAAAATGGGCCGCCTCCAGCGGAATCTTCGTCGCTGTCCGTGTCTGACATGATGGCGGCAGCAGTGATGGTACCTGCTGCCCGCAGCAGCAAATCGCAGCCGGGTCCCATAGACCGGAAATAAAACAACAGTCGCACAGAAGTGACTTACTGAGCTCCCTTACCCTACCAGCCTCTACCGGAAGCTGAATAAAGGTGGGGAGGGGAAGGGAGGGGAAGGGAGGGGAAGGGAGAGGAGGGGAGG